CCCAGACAGGCAGAGGCCAAAGAACAGCTTTTTGTGCAGGTTGAGGGGTTTCCATGAGGTGAGATGTAGAGAAAAATAAAGAGCTTCTCCACATCCTATTCCTTATTTTTATTGACATTCTACTGAAGGTATGACCTTGAGCAGCCATGACCACCCATTAACCCTCTTCCTCTCCTTCCACTGTCTGCCTCAGTATTGGTCTCTTAAGATTTTCCTTCCATGCTTTTGCTTCAATTTTGTTTAGTCTTCTTAAGTCAGACATTTCCAAATATTTTCTCATTCAGATCCTGAGAGATGTTTATCATCAGGCTTTCAGTTCAATATACATTCAATATTCATTCCTACAAGGAGTCTTGAAACAAGATTTCAGTAAATCAGAGAGGAAGTAGGTTATTTTTCACTTATTTCATCAACTTGCTTGGCATTTCTGATTTCAAGAAAATTGAAACAAATAACTGTGAAAAGCAAAAGAAACCTCTTAATCCATCTTCTGATATTATAAGAACTGAAATACCCTTAAAGAACACTTCTGCCAGTTGGCTGTCTCCACTTTGTTTTCACTTCAGGGTGATTTAGTGGCAGGATTGTTTGCGGAAGGTTCAAGAGGACTTGATTTTTCTGTTAAGGAATTGTCATGGTTTAACCCAGCAGGTAGCTAAACAACACACATCTGATTGCTGTAGAATTCAGGGGTTGAGATAAAGACAGTTTAACAGGACAGAAAAGGAACAATGATAAAAGAATTAGAATACACAAAACAAGTGATGCACAATGCAATTGTTCACCACCCCCCAAGTGATGCCCGGCCAGTTCCCAAGCAGCAGCCCCCTGGCCAGCTTTCCCTGCAGTTTATACACTCAGGATGGTCCCACATGGTCTGGAATATCCCTTGGGTCAGCTGGGATCACCCTGCCTCCTCGCTGGCAGGGTGGTGAGGGAAGCTGAGGAGTCCTTGACTTGTAAACACTGCTGAGCACCAACCAAAATATCAGTGTGTTACCCACATTATTCTCATCCTAAATCCAAAATACAGCACTGTACCAGCTACTAAGAAAATTAAATCTATCACAGCTAAGACCAGGACAGGACTACAGGGAAAAAACCAAACTGAAAGACACTTAGGATTTCTGTCTTGAAAGTTCCCATTAACTTGACACAGAAGCTTTTTCTAAGTTCATTCTTTCAAATCTCTTTCTTTCCATTTTGCCTCCCATCCTCTTCCACCCAAATTTCATCTTTCTTCCAAATTCCTTTGCTGTATCTTAGGCATTCCATCTCCCCCTCTAAGCACTCCCTTAATTTCCCAGCTCTCAGCTTCACCCATGTCCCCAAACTGCATTTTTCTCATGCTGCCACTGTTCTTCCTCCCCATTTAGAAACATTTTGTATAATTTACAATGCCAGTTTGCATTCTCATCAGACAATTCATTAACTCTATTTTCTAGTGAACTACACTAAGTTGGGGTAATTGGCACTTATAGATCCATCATTATGTAGCCCTGACACATTAATGTACAATACCAATAAAAACATATCTGCAAACATTGAATAGAAATAATGTCTAGTTTTAAAAGGAAGGGTTAAGCTAAAAATGTAAAGTAGGAAACATCCACTGTATTTAGAAAAGATTTCATCTACTGCCTCCTCTTTCCTGTCAGCAAAGTCAGAGTGGAATGGAAGAGACCTCAAGTAAGGAATAGCAGCAGCCAGGATCCAGCCTGGCTCAATCTGTTCTGGCAGGGATTTGATGGATCAGCTCTGGATAGGTCTAACTCCCAATTAAACTCAGCTGCTAACAGCTGAGAAGCCATTAAAGGGAATATATAAACTGCAGCTAAGTATGATGGTGACATGTTTTGTTTCTAGCTTGTTAAACCAGTAATTGTTATTGCAAGTAGCTGTCATTCCCACAGCATTGGCTTCTTGTTGACAATGAAGAAAACTCATTTGTTTTATAGTGTGAAGCTTAATTTACTTCATGGTTGGTTTCCTTCTCTGTCTGTCAATCCCAGACCTCTGAGAAAGAACTGCAGTGAGTTTTATGACAAGCAGAAAGAGCTGTACCTAAACAGCCAGTACAAAAACTATTGTTTCTTACTGATGAAGGGGTTTTTGAAAGGCACATAGGATCAAAAACTCCATTTTGAATCATATTAGCCAAGATTGCCCGTCATTGCCTACACCCAGATTGGCTAGTGATCTGTGTTTTGTACGTAGCAATCCCTTTGGTTTGTATGGTTTTTAATTAAATTTGACAACTCCAGAAGAAATTAACTCTGCAAAGTTGATTATCTGTTGGCCTTTAGCCATTTGTGTCTCCAACAGCCAACTGTTCATACCACCAGTCAAGAACATGGTTATAACCACATCAGGAGTGTATGAAAGAGAGAGATCCATTATTACCTTATGGAAATGCAAATGAAACCTTTATAGTACAGATGCAATTTATGTAGAAAAAACGTCTTGTTGGCATTCAGGTTATTCTGTTCAGGAAACATTTCTGCAGACCTAAAGAAGGTTTCTGTAAGCTGTGTCATCCCTAGGAGGGTTTGGCCATACAACAAACCTTTCCTGAGGTGGTTAATATTCAAAACCATGTTACCTTAACATAGTCAGGCTACATCTGTCTGTACAGAATGACACCAGAAGTGCAGTTTCTGAAAGCTGGGGAAAAAACTTGAGTAGTACAAAAATCCTTTGATGGCAACTGTACTGTCCTGTACCAAAGCAAAAGTTCCTCCAGTAGCTGTGAGAAGGCACATACTGCAGCATGAGGGCATTTCCCTACAGGGAGCTACAGAAGAAGGCCCTGTAAACAAAGTCCATGGTTGAGAAGGGTGTTTTTTGAAGCCTGGTTTAAGATTCAGTGGAAGCACCATGTACTGTGCTGAGTTCTGCAGAGATACATTAAAATGGGGAGTTTTTTTCAGGTACCCAGTTTGAACAGGCCTTGAACAGACTGGCTAAGCCTTCCTGAACACAAAGATAAAAATCTAACTAAATCCAGAGCTATGCAACTGAAGACTCCAGCCAGCAGGAGCTGCTGCAGAAGCCACTAAGAGGCCCGAGGCACAGGAAAGAGGAGCAAGACCAAAGCTCCATCACACAGATGAGGGGCTAAGAGAACTCAGTGGTTATTCCTGCCCTGTCTGCCACATTCTTTGTGTACATGGCAAGAGACCCATGAAGGCTGGGGCCAGTGAGAAGCTGCAGCAGTAACCTGGTTGGGGACCTTCAGGCATTCAGACCTTTGAAGCACTGTCTGTTCCACACTGCTCTTCAGCTTCCTTCTCTTAGTTTCCTCTGACCTGCCCTGTTCTCATGACTCACACTGCCCTTCAAATACTTCATTTTTGTGTTACTTCAACACATTCTAAACAAATCCAATTAGAAGATGACAGATGAAATTAATGCATCCCTCATTAACACAGTATCATTTATTCATCTTGTGTTGTTCCTTGCTTTTACACTTTCTCTGTCATCTGTCATTGTCAAAAAGCATTCTTGCTTACTTGTCTAATTAGGCTAACTCTGTGTTAGGAGAGCATCCAGCATGAGGAGATCTCCTTTTTTCCAAACCTCTAAGCCCCACCACAAGAAACACCATTAACAACAAAAGCAGGCCCACAAACACTCAGTAGGCTGTTGGTGTCATCCCTTACATCATCCCACTACAGGCTTTTATCTCACATCAAAGTTTGGGTCTAACACCTGGCTGTCCTCCCCTGGCTCTCAGATCCCTGTGCAGTCCAGCCACAGCCCCTTTGGAGTTCAATCTGCCAGCACTCTTTCAAACTGTTGCACTCTGCATAACACATGTTCTTCACCCCCCATCACTCAGAGAATATGTGACTCCACACAGCTCCTGTTCTGCTGGCTGGTATCACACACATTAAACCCCAGCTGCTGTAACAGGGATGGAACTGATGGAGTTTGCCTCTTGGCTTTAGTGGCCCCATGAGGGAAACAGCTCCCTGCCTGTGACTGCCTGCTCTCCCTTTGGCAGACAGGAAATATCACACCCAAAATACACATCCTAGTTTTCACCTTAGGTCTAATAAATCTAAAACTTTCAAAAATGGGCGTAGAAACTATAAGCACTGGCAGAGTTCTCTGTGTCTGCTGACTTTCAGATACTAAATAAACAGTGTCTGGATTTTGGCAACTGGCAGCATGCAAGGGAACAGATAGCAAGCCACTTGTCATGAATAATCTTATCTTTCTTTTTTTTTCTTTTATCCTTTTCTCGTGTCTTGAACTTTAAACATCTTATGGGAAGATAATGGCATTTTGAGATTAACTATACTTTTAAGTATTTAACTTCTTTGTTAGTTATCATAGCTAGTTGAATTCACTAAAAACAAATACTGTAAACTCACTCATATGCTGAGTTTCATCTCTGTGCAGCTGTGACAGAGTGAAGCTTAAATTACTCATATTTGAACCCAACAGATCCTATAGTGCATTTTACAAGCACAGCACAGAAATATCTATTGATATACCAAGCAACTGTGGTTGCAAATAGAGCAGCTATTTAAGCATATAAAATGTAGCAATCTTGTCTAAATACCACAAGAAATAATATAATTTGGATTTTGGCCAGGATTTCCTCTCCCCTCCATCTCCAACTATAAGAAGCTCTTAAGTGATCCCCAGAAATCAAGAGCTTTGGTTTTGCATATCCCTCCCAGACTACACTGCTTGTTAGTTCTAGGTACAGTTAAGGATTCGAAAGGCCAAGTACACATTTTGAGCCTCCCTTGAAGTATTTTGTACTGCTAAGAATGCTGGGAATTTCTGACAAGAGATCTAAGAAAGACATAAACTTTACTTTTCAGTTTAGTTCTTTTTTTTAAAGAAGTCAAAATTTGGCACTGTATCTTGAATTATTTGTGCTTTCCAATATCTTGTAATCTTCCTTCACTTTGACACATCTCCATTCCAGGAAGGAAAAATCCACCCTTTGAAAGAGATAGTTTCCTAGAAGGTTACACACTTACCACATCCATGATCTGCATGAGGCTGAGAGTGAAGTAGACAGTGAGTGGCTGGGAATCATTTGCAACTGGTCGCTCCAGAGGGTTGTAATTTTTCAGCAGCTCCTTGTAAAGCTTCCTTTGGAACTCTCCTTGTAGGGACTCTTTGGGCACAGAAGTAAATAGATAAATAATTGGGATTCTATATCAGAAAAAGTTGTGACATATGCTTTTTTACTGCTATAAGATATTATGTATCCATTATTACACCTGCTGCATTCCCAGGAAAATGCCACTGTATTTCACACAGTTCATTAGCTACTACTATAAAATCCAACTCACAAACGCATCGCTCTGTTCATCCCAGCCTGTAAGGTGGATTGCCTCTGATAATTTCTTGATTGGCCAGGAGTGATAAATTTTATATGCTAGTGATGCTTCCTCAACATACACACCCTTCGGTCCAGCAGCAAGAAGTGATGAGGAGGAAACACACTACCTGTGATCTGACACCTGTCCTGGCACAGCTCTACCAGAGCAGCAGAGCGGGGATACGGCAGAGGGCATCAGCAAGACAATGGGAGAAAAATGGCCACAGGTTAGACCCAGCCCTGCTCTCAGGCTGCTCCAGACCGAGAACTCTTTGGGGCAAGTACTGTCCACTTTGTTCTCTGTTCATGCAGCTATGAATGAAGCAGAGTACGGGGTTCCTGACAGAGATGAGAGGTGCATTAATTGACATGGTAATATTCAGGGATTTCTATCTGTTTTACGCTTCAAATCCAATCTTTACTCTGCCGTTTTTCTGTGAAGGGAGAGGGAGCAGGTCCACATGAATGGAGCACAGTAGACGAGGGACAGAGGCATTTTCGAATGAAATGAAATCTGATGCAGGATAGGAACAGGTCCTCTAGATGCGAGCCCTCCTTGTCCCACTCCAGACGGACTTCTCTCTTCCCGATCTTCTAGTCCTGAGCCTAGAGCCGCAGCCTCTGCCCTGGAGCAGCCACCATTTAAGTTCCCTGACGGAGTTCTCTCCCCATCCCCATCGCTTCTGCCCGTCTCCCGTGTCCTTCCCGGCCGGTCCCAGCCCTCGCAAGCCCCAGTGCTGCCGGGGACGGGGGCGCAGCGCAGAGAGGCTGAAGGGACGGCGCGGCCGGAGACCCGCCGTGCGCGGGCAACCGGCGTGTCCCGCTGCCCCTGCCGTGCCCGCTTGCCCCTTTGCCGTGCCCGCTGTCCCTGCCAGTGCCCGCCTGCCCTGCCGTGCCCGCTGTCCCTGCCGCCCCGCCCGCTGCCTCCCGGCGCTGCCCGCGGGGCCGGCGCCTCTCACTCACCGCGCGGACGATCCCCCCGCCGCCAGCAGCCACAGCCCCAAGCGCCGGGAGGCCCATCCGGGAGCGCCGGGCGCCGCGGGGACGGACGGACACGGCGACAGCCAGCCGCGGCTTCTCCGCGCCGGATCCGGCCCTCTGGGAGCCGCCGGGAGCCCGCGCACCTCCGGCCAACCGGCCACCTTCCTGCCGCCCGCACGCGCTCGCCCTTACGGCGCCGGCGGGCCGGCGAAGCGGAGCGGAGCGCAGGGATGCTGACGGAACCCGCCTCCGCGCCTGCTCCCGCCGGCGGCTCCCGCCCGCCCCTAATATCCTCCAGCGACCCCGCGCCGGAGGGAAGGGAGAGCGGAGCCGCTCGCAGGCGGCTACGGGCAGCAGGAACGATGCGGAGCGGTGGCGATGGGCCCCGGCATTCATAGAGAGCGACAGAGGGGCCCGCCCCTTCCTGCTGGGCAAAGCCGCGCCCGCCCGCCCTCCCGAGCCCCGCCGGGGACGGGCGCCCGCAGCGGCACGCGGGGAGCCGAGGCTGGGAGGCAAGAGGGAAGGGGAGGGAAAGGGGAGCCGGCACAGGAGCACACCCTGTCCGCGCCATGGCCCAAAAGCCACGGGGCATCAGGGCCCCCAGGGCCACGGAGCTGTCCCCCAGCTCCCCTGCCCTCCTCGGCACAGGTGCTCGGTCATTCTCCTTCGCCACCGGCAGCGGCTGCTGCTGTGGAAGGCGTGGATTAGCCCAAAGGGCAGCAGGGTGAGTGCCCCGGGTAGGATATCCACTGCCAGGGGCGAGGGGAAGGCAGCCGGGGTGGGCACCCAGGGCAGTCTCTGCTGGCCTCAGCCAGCAGCTTGGCTTAGGTCACATTTGGGGCAGGACGGTGATGGCCAAAATTATGTTGCACACACAGCTGTTAAATCCCCAGCAGATGCAGGGCTGTGGGCTCAGGTGCTGGATCTTTTGTCTGGATAAGGGGAGAACAGCCATGGCCATGGGGCATCGTGTTTAGTGCTTGACAAACACATGACAGAAAAAATGATGCCTGAGCTCTTGCCTGGTGTGGGTATAATGCATCAGAGTTGGAAAGCTGGCCTAGAAAATGCAATGCATTTTGTTGATTGTCTGGTTCCCATTTGCAACTCTAAGCACATTTTTGAGACCACGCATGGGTTCTTTCAGTCAAAATCCCTGTCCTTCAAATCCAGTTGGTGCATTAAATGAATGTCCAAGGCAGCTGCACTTCAGGAGGAATGGTTTTGAAGTGTGTCCTCGCTTGCAAGGGGTAACTAAATGCTTGTTTTTCAAATAACAATTAAATAGCAGTTTGTTAGTCCATGCTAATTCTCAGCTTTAAAAATCCAGGTTGTCTGTTTTGGTTCAAGCAGTGACCTAATTTATGTAGCTATTGTTTAAGTATTTTTAAATGTTTAGCAAAAAAACAGATGAAACTGGGGTCAACCTGAGTAGCCCAGCACATTGGTACATCATATGTTCCTGGTGTAACACACAGGAGGACTGAAACATTCCCCTTTTCCAATGAACCAACATGCCAAACAACTTTACCCAGGGGTAGTGGAAGCCAGGAAATGGCAAAGGTAACTCTCCAAAAGCCAAGTCATAGCTGATGTTTTTTAATTTGTGGTGGGTATTTTTTTCAGTGAGATCTTGACCTTTTTGGACCAGCTACTAGACAAGGACAAGTTGCTAGGGGAGCTCTGTATTATTTGCAGAAAAAAAGAGTGTTATTACTCATTTGTACTTCAACCTTCCCATGGCAGTGCTCTCAGTACCTGGATTTTTGCCTCGTTTCATTTTGGAAAGGAAACTAATTTTCTTTCCTCCTACTCCTGCTACCCACTGCTGTTTTGGCACAGGTGCCCCAGATATTTTTGGGTGTACAGTAAACAGCAGGAATTGTTCAGGCAAGAAATCTGGAGACGAAATCTACAGTTCATGGCTGACCCCTGCTGTTGGCTCTTTTTTCTGCTTTACACGTTGCTTTGTTGACAACTGCCTCACCCCGGTGATGAAGGCACGGCAGAGGTGGGCACAGGCCAAGGTCTTCGGGGCTCTGTTACGGGACTCAAAAGGCAGATCCTTCAGGGGATGGTGCTGAAGCACCAAATTCCAGTAGTATAAGCGTGGAAAAAATAATTTGTAACTATTTCTTTGATAAATTTTGATTTAGTTTTGGTTCTGGCAGTCTCGTTTGCTTTTGTTGTTAGCAAATTGACTTTTATAAGCACTTCAGAAATTCTTGTCTTTTAATAACAATCAGTACCCTTGCTCCTTGATTAAACTGTGTTCAGTCAGGTGCATTCCTGCTACAGGTTTTACCCTTTCTAGTCAGAGATTTTGGTGTGAATGCACACAAATGGCAGGAAGAGGTCGTATCTGCTTTCAGCATCATCCTGGCTAATAAAAGTGAATTTTACAAGTATTTATGAGGGTTGCTTGTGTAGACACTAGCAAAGAAAGATTAGCAAAAACTATACGGAAGTCCTCTAAAATATATCCTTTACAAAAGGCAAACATCTTCACTCAAGTGCTATTTTGGGTCTATTTTGAGTCTGAGGCACAGAGCTATCAGAGAAACAGCTATAGGATTCTGAATTAATGTGTGTATAGAAAAGACCCTCGTCATAAAAACCATGTTTGTTTATACCCAAATATTATCTTCCTAGTTATTTATCTTCCTACTTATTATCCTAGTTATTTATAAGGTTAATCCCATACATTGATCAGTAAAAAGAGCCAAGGGCTGAAGGGACTCCAGAATGACTCGTGCAGTCATTACAAGATGCTGCAGTTGTCCAGGGGTTATAATATCCTGCAATTGTGAGGAATATCCTCTTTTTCTCTTTGCACAGATTTACAGAAGACTAAAATCTTGCATCTTCCTAATGAAGAAGATGATAAGATAGCCCCGAGATTCGGCTGATAGTGAATAAGTGACCATCTTATACTGTGTGTTATGTGCATCTACAGTGACTGCACACTTGCTGACTTTGTTCTAATTATTGTGCCACTGCCATGACCTGGCACTCCCACAGCAGAAGAAAATCTGCTTCTCTTTCTTCTTAGAGAAGAAGGTAGAATAGGCTAGGATTTTAAATGGTGTCTTCGAGCATATGTTAGAAGCCCACATTTATTTGAATGTTATTTTAATTAAATTTCCTCTTTATTTGTTAGCTTTTTGTTACTTGCAGGTAGCCCTAGTAATTACATCTCACGTTATTCATTATTTTCTGTTGTTTATTTTGCACAACAAGTAGTCTCAGTGATGGAGTGTGCATATGTGATGAGCTTTTTCTGCAAAATGTCCTGAAACAAAATATTCTTTCTTCCTTGCGAGAGGTAGCAGGTAGTTTTGATGCTGAGTTTTCTATTGAAGGATGAATTAGTGATCTGAAATCTGGTTAATTTTGTGACTAAACTTTATATTCGATACACCCACACTTGAACAGAGGTTCGCAAAGACAAGCTCTTCCCAAATTCTTAGTTCCTACACCAGTCTGTGATTTCCAGAAAATGATCCATTCCCCAGATGATCTTCTGTTGGGAAGGATAAAGAAGAGCACAGACTATTCTGCTGTTGAAAAATAATAAAGCTGCTGCCCTCTCAGTTTGTAAAAAGTAATTACAGAGAGAACGTTTCTGAACAGTGCTCAGATGTGAAGAATGAGGATTTGTAAAATTTGCCTAATGACTGTGTAACTGTGTAACTAATGAATAGGGCCTGTGGTCATTTGTATAATGCAAACATCTTTCAAAGTTCATTCTTGTCTTCTACTACCATTAGCAGACACAGTGTGAGCATATTAAACTGCAGTGGCAA